CAGGATAAAGATCGATCAGNCGAAAGCTTCGCTTGAAATCGCTGATCTGATAACTTTGGGTGTCTCGAAAACACAGACCTCGAAAACGCAGACCTCGAAAACACAGAAGTCGAAAACAGTCAGACCTCGAAAACGCAGACCTCAAAAACACACACTTTGAAAACGTTGTCTGTGCACTAATTGGGAAGCTTCGCTCCTTTATAAAATCAAAAGGAAAAAGACAATTTAAAAAAGCCCTAAACTATCATCGGGATCGGTTCAAGTTTATTAATAAATTGAGCTTACCCGAAATTTCCAAGATGGCGGACGCTTTGCGGATTTCCGACTCTCTCCTCTTCTCCCTTGATTGTAAGTGCAGCTTTCGTTTGCAGAAAATCGAGCACAGACTAAGTTGGAATATCATCAGGTAAGGTATTTGTTCCCATTGGAAAATTAAGCAATGGGAGTAACGAAACAATGTTGGCAAATGAAGTAATGAACACCCTCGCAGGCGACAAGCACCATTCATCGACCGGAAGTCACACAAGTGATGAAATTTCGCGACGGAAAAAAATCGCAATTAGATTAGTTAATTATTTAAAGGAATCTTTAATTGATGTAGTTTTTTACAGGAGGGTTCTTTGGAACGCGATTGTCTTTTCTGTACAGGAACACAACATCAAGAAGGCCAATTAACCGCAACACATATTTATTGATGACACATTAATTTTTATTTATTTATTTTATTAATACTAAATGCTGGTAACAGGGATCTTAACGATAATATTTGTAGCTGGATAGTTGAACCAAAAGTCCACTTGCCAGCATTTTCTCGTTACTTTCATTGCTTAATTTACTAATGGCTACGAATACCTTACTTGATGATAGTCCAACTTATTCTATGCTCGATTTTCAGCAAACGAAAGCTGCACTTACAATCAAAGGAGATCCCCAACGCGTGCGCCATCTTGGAAATTTCGGGTAAGCTCAATTTACTAATAAACTTGAACCGGTCCCGATGATAGTTTTGGGCTTTTTTAAATCTTCTTTTTCCCATTGATTTTGTAAAGGAACGAAGCTTCTAAATGAGTACACAGACAACCTTTTCAAGGTGTGTGTTTTCGAGGTCTGTGTTTTCGAGGGGGCTGCGTTTTCGAGCCACCCGATAACTTTTCCAGTTTGTAAATCATCAAGCACGAACCGACCGCTTAAGCAGGATAAAGATCGATCATGCAGGTGCTAGCGATCACGCGGAAAAGTTAGCGGATGGATTGTGCGGCGAGCTCCACATCGAATATAAAACAAAATCCGAAATTCCGGAGGAGAGGAGAGGTTAAAGATTTTGGAATTTGGAGGGCATGGGGGGTAGAGCATTTGGAATTTGCGAAGGCAAGGGGGGGTTAAAATGTTCATGCCGCCCGTGATAGGGTATGGATATTTTCTGGAATCACCCATTACAAGAGGTTGATATGCTGCCGTATGATATCGATGGGCACTGCCGCTATTCACTGCACTGCGAGCCTTCTCAGCTTATGTTCTCTAGTAAAGATGGACGACCGTGGAAACCATATATCTCATCCAGAAGAAAAGGATTTTATGGGATAAGAAGAGTTGCAGATTGTAAAGGTAGTAACCTACAGTGTCCATATTTCCAAGAATTTAACAACTTTAATACAGTACAGTTTGAGTCGTCAGGCCTCGAGCAAGTGTGTTCTTGTGGTGAGGTGGCTGATCACTATCCTCGTGAGGCTACGAAAATATGAGAATTTGAAGATGGCCATAATGCAACCACTGTTATTATTTATCATGAAGGATGAAGGGAAACACTCTTGCACTGCTGTGAGACCAAAATGATCCAACAAAGAATATTGAAACTCTTCTTCAAGAAAACAAACAACTAAAACCTGCCCAGATTCCAAATCAAGCCATCACAAGAACGATTGATGCGGACGACAACTGGGATGAGATTACAAACAAAGCACGGGAATGAAATGACCTGAGGAAAGTATCCCATTTAAAGCACGCTCTGAAAAGAAAAAAATTAATCCACATGGTCACAGTTTTGACGAAGTAACCAAATTGCGAGAAAAGTCACAGAAAAGGTTCTCATTTTTGTATATTCTTATATCAGTAGAGACATGAATCTGTCAAAACCTACTTACGTTTTTAAATCCAGTACGACTTCTCTCCACATTGCTCAAAATGTGGATCAATCAAAAGATCATTTCATGCGTGAAGAGTATCGTTTTTCTGATGGGATGCATGACCACTGCAATGGCCTTAAGACACTGACACTATGGCATACCACCGTTTACTACGTAAGTTGGTAACACTGGCGACTAGGGACTGCGAAAGTGAAAATAAAAACTGTATTTCTTTGTTTTGGACACTGCGGAACAACGCCCTTGTAGAGCTTTCTGGTATTCAAAACTACCATTTCAACCCAAAAGGGTGGTGCATGGACGAAGCAGGTGCTAGCTGTTCGGCAATTGAAAAAGTGTATGGTTGACAAGCATTGCCTAAGTGCATATAATGCGAATTTCACTTTGAAAGGTAAATATAGACCTCAGCATAAGGACCAAAACGGCAATTTCTTTCAGGTTGATGCCGTTTTTCGTTACTGTGTCAAGATTGACTGTGTCAAGAAGCGTTCACAAAGATCAGATCTGACTACTCCACCAAAAGAGATCATTTTCCCCGCTGATTTGAAGGTTACACCTGAAGACCTGGACGGTATGCAAAATTTGCCTGTAGTCTCTGTCTATAAAGATAAATGCATGTAACAAGTTGTGTTTATTTTAAACGTTAACTTTGCGTTCACGAAATTTAATTATGAACCATTAGCGTTCCACAACCAACCAAGAACAGTCACGATTCATGCCAGCATGCTTATTTGCTCTATGCTCATTTATGGACGAAAATAAGTAGTTCAGCCAAAAAGAACCAGACGAAAGTAGTACCAGCTTGCCTTGTTTTACACTGTATCGACGTCTGGATTTCTCAATAAAATGTTCTCTTTAGTATTGGTGTTGCCGTTAATTTTTCTGAATGCATCATTTCAAAAAAAGAAGGAAAAGCAGATCTGAAAGTACGAAAGCCGAGGAGAGACTTCGGACTTCGGACTTCTGATTTCTGACTTCTGAGTTCCGACTTCCGACTTCCAACTTCAAAATTTAAAGGACCGATTTTCGACTTACAGCTTATTTACCTGGAGATCGAGTCCATTTTAATCAAATCAGAATCGTACAGACCCTTGTTCTTAGGCATCGTAGCTTGATTAAGAATGAGTTTGAATACAATGTTTATCACAATGTTTATCACC